GAGGTTACCAGAGACTGGAAGTGGAGGGGAAGGGATTGTGACTATACGGGGCTTTACGAGAACTCTTGGGACGATAGAAATACTGTATACCTTGATTGCAGTGGCAGTTACATGACTATATCCCTTTGTTAAAACTCACAGAACTGTGTATACCTAAAGTATGAATTTTGCTGTGTGTAAATTATACCTTAATAAGCCTGACTGAAAAAAATTAACAGGTAAGCAGTGAAACAAATCTCTATTTCACCCCTGCTATCCCAAAGCCATTCATTTTCTATACTGCTCTTATGCCTTCCTCCAACCTTTAGGTAGCTATATTGTTATTATTTCTTTAATGTATTCTTCCAGAACTTCTTCTTGCGTATATAATACATATGAATGTATATTCTCATTTTTCTCTTTTTGATTCAAAAGGTAGCATGATGTACATTCTGCACTTGTCTTTTTTCCAGTGTATCTAGGAGATCTTTCCATGTCAGGATATAGAGCTTCTTCATTCTTTTTTGCAGCTACAAAGTGTATTCCATTATAAGCATGTACTGTAATTTATTTAATCAGTCTATTTATGAACATATTTGTGAACATATGGGTTACTTTCAGTCTTTTGCTATCACAAACATTAATGTAGTGAGTGAGTGTGATACATCCATTATTTTTGCACATACGCAAATATATGTGTAAGATAACTTTCCAGAAGTGAAACGGCTTTGTCAAAGAGAATATATACATTTGAAATTTTGATAGATATTGCCAGATTGCCATCAATTAGGGAGGTTTCAAGAGATCACCTATTTTTTTTTCTTTTTCAAATTTTTATTTAAATTCTAGTTAGTTAACATGCACTGCAGTATTGGTTTCAGGAGTAGAATTCAGTGGTTCATCACTTACATACAACACCCAGTGCTCATCATAACAAGTGCCCTCCTTAATACCCATTACCCATCTAGCCAGTCCTCCACCCACCTCCCTTCATCAACCCTCAGTTTGTTATAACTTTAAGAGTTTCTTATGGTTGGGGTGCTTGGGTGGCTCAGTCAGTTGAGTGTCCAACTCTTGGTTTTGGCTGAGGTCATGGTCTTGGGGTCGTGGGATCAAGCTCTGCGCCTGGCTTCATGCTCGGCGTGGAGTCTGCTTGAGATTCTCTGCCTTTCCCTCTCCTCCTTCCCCCACTTGTGCACGCTCTCTCTCTTTATCTCAAATAAATAAATATAATCTTTTAAAAAAAAAGTCTCTTATGGTTTGTTTCCCTCTCTTTTTCCCCCATCCCATATGTTGATCTGTTTTGTTTCTTAAATTCCACATGAGTGAAACCATATGGTATTTGTCTTCCTCTGACTGACTTATTTCACTTAGCATAATAACTCTAGCTCCATCCACGTTGTTGCAAATGGCAAGATTTCATTCTTTTTGATGGCTAAGTAATATTCCACTGTAGTACATATACCACATCTTCTTTATCTATTCATCAGTCAATGGACATTTGGGCTCTTTCATAGTTTGGCTGTTGTTGATAATGCTGCTATAAACATCTGAATGCATGTAACCCTTTGAACCTGTGTTTTTGTATCCTTTGGGTAAATACCTAGTAGGGCAATTACTGGGTCGTAGAGTAGTTCTCTTTTTAACTTTTTGAAGAACCTCCAAGTGGGATTTATTCTTGGGCTCTAGGGGTGGTTCAGTATTCACAAATCAATCAACATGATATACCACATTAATAATAGAAAGAAGAAGGGGGTGCGTGGGTGGCTCAGTTGGTTAAGCATCTGACTTTTGATTTCGGCTCACGTCATGATCTCAGGGTCCTGGGATTGAGCCCCGCATTGGCTCCGTGCTCAGTGAAGATTCTGCTTGTCCTTCTCCCTCTGCCCCTCCCCCTGCTTATGCTCTCTTTCTCTCAAATAAATAAATATCTTTTAAAAATAATAACAGAGGGGTGCCTGGGTGGCTCAGTTGGTTGGGCAACTGCCTTCGGCTCAGGTCATGATCTCAGGGTCCTGGGATCAAGCCGCATCAGACTCCCTGCTCAGCAGAGAGCCTGCTTCTCCCTTTCCCTCAGCCTGCCCCTCTGCCTACCTGTGCTCTCTGTCTCTCGGTCAAATAAATAAATAATATCTAAAAAAAATAATAACAGAAAGGATAAGAACCATATGATCCTCTCAATAGATGCAGAAAGAGCATTTGACAATATACAGCATCCATTCTTGATAAAAACCCTCAACAAAGTACATATAGATGGAACATACTTCAACATCATGAAGGCCATGTATGAAAGACCCACAGCTAATATCTTCAATGGGGAAAAACTGAGAGTTTTTCCTCTACGGTCAAGAGATCACCTATTTTAAGGCCCCATTAAATGTTGCCTTATTCTTTTTTTTTTAAGATTATTTATTTATTTATTTGAGAGAGAGCATGAGAGGGAGGAGGGTCAGAGGGAGAAGCAGACTCCCTGCTGAGCAGGGAGCCTGATGCGGGACTCGATCCTGGGACTCCAGGATCATAACCTGAGCCGAAGGCAGTTGTTTAACCAACTGAGCCACCCAGGCACCCAGTGTTGCCTTATTCTTAAGACTTTCTTCTTCAGCAAGACTTTTCCTTTTCCCTTCTCACCAAATGGAACTAATGCTTCCCACTCCTAGGCTTTCACAGCTCATTGTACCTTGCTAATGATATTAATTATAATCTGCTTTAAATTAGAATTAGTTGTATATATGGCTATTTTCCCCAGTTGGGTTGAGTTGTCTTTTCTGCTTTATATAAGGTGGCTGAATTTTCTTGACCTGGCATTATTTCTTTGATGAGTCACATCAAGATCTTTCTAAACAGCTGGCTCAACCTTTCCATGGCAGAAGCAAAGTCAGGGGTACTCTTAACTGGAAAGAGTCCCCTGGGTTTGTCTTGGCTAGAATCTATCTGGGGTCGGGGGGCATCTAGGTGTCTGATTAACCGTGGACTGGGTTGCAGAGTGTGGTAATAGCTCTGGAGATTTTTATTCTGATAGTTAACTGGAATGAAAATAACTGGGCACAAGTACATGCTATGAAAACATTTTTGTTAGTGAAAGCTCTTGTCAGGTAATGAATAAAAGTACAACCAGTGAAATGTTAGTGAAAAGGGTTGATAGTAGGCTTTCATATATATTCATATATTTCATACATTCTTTGTCAAGACAAGAAATCTCTGATCTCAAAGTTCCATCAAATTGAGAATATTAGATATTCCTGTTAGTTGTGGTATCTTAGGAAAATATTGAGATCTACTGACTATGATTGTCAATGAATGGCAGCTAAGAAAAGGGATTTAAAAAATATGTCACAGGAACTTTTGATTACTGAGAGTTGTCATTAAATACAAAGAATACTTTTTAAATAGTTAAATCTTAAGACAAAAACAAAAAGGAGTAATTAAAAAGGGAAGAGAAGGGCGCCTGGTTGGCTCAGTCAGTAGAGTATGTGACTCTTGATCTTGGGGTTGTGAGTTGAAGCGCCATGCTGGGCACGGAGCTTACTTAAAAATGAAATGAAATGAAAATTTTTAGAAAGGGAAGACAGAATTTCATGAAAGAAGAAATAAATAGAAAACTAATTTGAGCAGATAACACATAAATTACAAAAATGATCAAACGAAGGAAGAACACATAGAATGTTTATCTTACAGCATATGACCAGAATGATTCTGGTAACTAAAGATTTTTAAAATAACATTTGTTATAGTCTTTTTCTGACTATAAAAGTAATACATCTTAACTGAAGATAATTAGAAGTTACTGGGGAAAAAAAATCTAATGAAAATTACTGGCTGTGATCATTTTCAGGTTTGTCAAGTTTTCATATTGAGCTGTGGTGCCATCCATGAGTCTTTAGGGTACTGACTTGATCCTTGTGAAGCAGTAGAGTGGAAACAGTGTATGATTTTAAGTCAAAAGACCTTGGTTGATGCTTGGTTTTATCACATACTAATTCTATGTATTCAGATGAATTTAGTTACCTCTCAGAGCCTGTTTCCATGTCTGTGAAATGAGCAAACCAAGACTTTGCCATCACAGAGTTTATATTTCAGTGGAAGAAAATAGGCAGTGAACAAATAAGTAAAAGTTCAAATAAAATTAGTTTTATGAGAAAAAAATAAAGCAGAGTAAAAAAGAATGGAGTGGCATTGAAGGGGGTGGGTAGTATTTTAGATTAGGATGATTAAGGAGTACTTCTGAGGAGGTGACATTTGAGCAGAGGGGTTAGTGTGGGGTAGAAGAGCTAGCCATTGGAGGTATGTAAAGAGATGGCTTTTCACTGGAGAGAATAGCAAAATAAGCTAGAAACACGGTTGTAGGAGAAACCATAAGTAAATCCATTTTGGAATGAGGCCAATGCCAAATTATGGAAATCTTGGAGGCCAAGTAAGAAGAGTTTGGACTTTATCCTAAGTTGAGCTCTCTAAGAACTGGGATCATGTATTATTCATGTTTGGATTTATTTCAGTACCTAGCATGTAATAGTTACCCAATAACTTGATTTATGAATATATGAATTGCATGCATAGGGAGGGATACAAGTTGCCATCATCTTCGAATTGAGTTTGAATGAAATAGCCAAGACATTAAGAGGTTGGCATCTTTACTTAGAGACTCCTTATGGTTACTGTAATTAATTGTAACCAGAGCCTGAATATTAGTGTATGTACTACAATGCTTGGCATGATTCTGGATATATGAAAGCATTTAGTGTTTTCTAATGTACAGAATTTATTTGTCATAAATGCCACTTTATTTTAAAATGTAGGTACAAAAAATGGGACTCACTGATAATTAAAATGTTAGTTTTTTTAACATGATTTAGAGATATTTTCTAATTTTCTGTAATTTCACAATAAAAAATTAGAAATTTAAGTAGTATTTTATTGTGATGGTAATGCATGTTTCTCCCATCTACTTCATGGGCTCAGGTGTGCTGAGTCTTTTGCCATTTGAAGCTTATTTTATTACTCTTTGCTTGGTTTTGTTGTAGCCTCGTGCTGTGGCAGGCTTTCGAGGGACAGTTCGTTATGCATCAATCAATGCTCATCGAAACAGGGTAGGTATCTGAACTAGAGTCATATCTACATAAGCATGCTGATTACTTGAATCAGAGTAACTTTTTTACATTAGAGGACACAAGTGTGGAAGGTGCTTGGGAGCAGAGGGTAGGGTCTTAGTAATACTAATGTACCATAGTATGTATACTAGATAATAGATGTATACAGCTGCATAAAAAAAGTTTTATTTGCCAGAAAAGATAATAGCTGTGTGTGTGTGTGTGTGTGTGTGTGTGTAGGGAACCTTAATTAAGTATAAATAGTAACAAATTTAATATTGAATTTTGAAGAAATAGAACATCTGTGTTCTAATCTTAAGAAGTTCTTTTGCGAATATCATACTTTCAATACCTAATGAAATACAGGGGTCATCATTTTGTCTATAAGTATGCATCTAATCTGTGATATCCCCTCTCCATTAAACCTTTTCTTTTCATGAAGATCTCAAGTACAAACTACTTTTAAATTTTCATCTTTGTAAATTATACCTTTTGGGTTAAATTTTAAAAATCTCTCTCTCTTTTTTTTGTTTACTTTGCTCCTTTTGTGCTTCTCTGATTTTTTTTTTCATTCTGAACCTTAATTATGAGTAGGAAAGGTGGGTATTTTATGGATTCTCAGTTCTTGAACTTGGCTGGTTGGAGGTGAGAAATTTAACATGTGATTCCTTAATAAAATAAAGAGAAATCTTTTCTTGATCTTACCTTATTCTTGTTCTGTGAAGCCAAAATTGCCTTAATGAAAATTTGACAAATGCTAACTATAGTAGGAAGAGTATGCTCTGGTCTTAATATGTTATGCTCCAGTTAATTTGGATTCTAATAATATGATTATAAATTGAAAATAGGAAAAGTATTTTTATCAGTGTATAATGTAGCACTCTGCCAAGCATTTCAGCTCATTTGGTTTGATTCAGTGTTGTATTAAATTATGGCATCCAGTTAGGGTGCCTGCCTGGCTGGCTTAGTCAGAAGAGCATGTGACTTGATCTCGGGGTTGTGAGTTTACGCCCCACGTTGGGTGTAGAGATCACTAAGAATTAAATAAACTTAAAAAAATTTATGGCATCTAGTCAATTATTTTGTCTTGAAAAGAAAGTACTCTTATTTTCTGGATACATTCTTAAAAACCTTTAAAATTACTAAGCTTTCTAATTCTATTTATAATTTTGATCAACATTGGAATCTTTGAGATAGGATACTCTTTCTGAGATAAGCATAAACATTTCCAGAGATCATAATAGCTGTAAAGGCATTTCCAAAATATCTAGTAGAAAGACTATATATTTTTACTTTTAGAAGAAATCTCCACAAATTAAAAAAAGTAAAAATACACTCCATTTCAATTTTTTGGGTACCTTAATCTTAAACTTTTTTTTTTTTAAGATTTTTAATTTATTTTTTAACAGAGAGAGAGAGACAGAGAGGGAACACAAGCAGGGAGAGTGGGAGAGGGAGAAGCAGGCTTCCCGCCGAGCAGGGAGCCCAACGCAGGGCTCGATCCCAGGACCCTGGGACCATGACCTGAGCCAAAGGCAGACGCTTAACGACTGAGCCACCCAGGCGCCCAGTCTTAAACTTTTAACATGAATAATTCCCATACATATAAGACTTTTCAAAATACTTGAACTCTGTTCATTACATTGTTGTCCTACATTTCAGTCCTTTATTAATATTTGTTTTATCTCAATAATTTGAAGAAATTTTGTCTTCTGGTTCTATGGTCGCTATTGAGAAGATCTTTGTCCATTTAATTGTTATCATTTTGTATTTAATTTGTCCTTTTTCTTTGACTATTTTAGATATCTGCTCTTTGTCTTTGCTGTTCTACAGATAAGTTCTAACGTGCCTAGATGTGGATTTCTTTATAATTATTCAGTTTGGGATTTGTTGTGCTTCCTAAATCTGAACATTCATGTCTTTCATAGGTTCTGGAAGATTCTCAGACATTTCTTCTTTAAATATTGCATTTTTCCCTTTCTTTCTATACCTCTTTTTTCATATCTCAAATTGATATATGTTAGATCTTCTTCTGGGGCGCCTGGGTGGCTCAGTCATTAAGCGTCTGCCTTCGGCTCAGGTCATGATCCCAGGGTCCTGGGATCAAGCCCCGCATTGGGCTCCCTGCTCGGCGGAGAGCCTGCTTCTGCCTCTCCCACTCCCCCTGCTTGTGTTCTCTCTCTCACTGTCTCTGTCAAATAAATAAATAAAATCTTTAAAAAAAAAAAAAGATCTTCTTGTTCTGTCTTCCTTGCCGGAAGTTCACTCTCAGATTTTCTTTTTCTGTCTCTCTGTTTTGTTCTAGATAATTTCTTCAGATCTGTCTTCCAGTTCATTTTTATTTTTTCTGCTGTTTTTGATCAGCTTTCTAACCTATACATTGAATTTTTAATTTCTAGATGTTCTTTTTGGTCCTTTTTTAAATCAAACTGGTCTTTTTATTTTTTTAGATAGGATATGGTTCCATTTTTTTTGCTTAAGCATTTTAAACATTTTAATTTTGTATTCTTTATCCTATAATTCCATATATGGAATTCTTGGATATCTAATTCTGCTGTATAATTTCTCTTGTCTCATTAGCTTATGATAGCCTGCTTCCTAATGTATTTTATGCTTTTGAATAATGAGCCTATATTTTGTGGACCTTTATCTGTAGGACTTCTATGAGGCCTGAATTTAAAGGTGCTTTTATCGTTAGAGAATTTTCATTTGCATCTGTCATTACTACAAGAGAGGATCACCCAGAAAACAATTTCTGGATTTGGTTTCCCAGACCACACAAGTGGTATAAATTTAAACCCCAAATCTGAGTGAGGAGCAGGCCTATAGTAACAAATTTTCAGGGCAAATTTTTTAACCACTTACTTTATGCCTTTGGTAGTGGTTAAATTTTACAGGAAAAAACAATTATTGCAATATAATGTACATATCATATATTGCACTAAAGATAGCCCTTTGAAGGTCCTAGCTGTTTAGTGAGGGCCTAAGGGGAAGTGTCGCATTTACAACTCCTGTCTTGTGTAGGCTCAGTACTTTTACACCTGTCCCCTTCCTGATTGTTAAAACCCTGGTTGACAAAACCTGTAACAGGTGCCTCTAAAACCAAAGCTTCAGCATCAGCTTGCTTCTCTTGTTTCCAGCTTTCTTTTAATTTGGCTCCTAGAATTTGCTTTCTTTTTTTTTAATTGTAAAAAACGTATCACATTAAATTTACCATGTTAACCATTTTCTTTTTCTTTTCTTTCTTTTTTTTTTTTTTTGAGTATAGTTGACACACAGTGTTACATTAGTTTCAGGTATACAACACAGTGATGCAACAACTATGTATGTTATGCTATGCTCACCAATGTAGCTACCATCCACATTAACCATTTTTAAGCTCACAGTTCAGCAGTGTTAAGTATATTCACATTAGGGTGCAACAAAGTTCTAGAACTTTTTTCATTTTGCAACACTGAAACTCCATACCTGCTAAATGCTGATTCACCCTTCCCCTTTCCCCCAGAACCTTGGCAACGACTTTCCCTTCTTAATGAACTCATTTATTAATTAATAGGCTGTTAATTACATTTCCAGCATTTCTAGGTTTGGGGGTTTCTTTGTAGCAAAAAGTACTTCATTATATTCATTCTGTTATGTAGATTGTTATATAGCTAGGTAGATATATTTACCAGATTTTATGGAAAATACATTAAAATTTTTAAGCCTAATAAGATGAAACGCAATGGTTAGGCCTTAGACAATGTAATATACTCAAAAGGAGTAGTAATGTAATGTGATTGAATTCTGTTTGGCTTATGAAGGAAATGGGAAGACATGATGACCTTTGGTCCTTATTCTACATGTTGGTGGAGTTTGTGGTTGGTCAGCTGCCTTGGAGAAAAATAAAGGACAAGGTAATTTTGGAAATGGAAATGGAAATATCAGTTTTGGTAAGGGAAGGAATAAAATTTTCTCCTGGGTAGACATAATGGATGAGAATATACTTACATATAAGAACTAAAATTAGGGTGATAGTAAAGATCTAATTAATGTTAAGATTTTTTTCTGTGTACATGGAGAATAGATACTCATTTAAGTATTAAATCATCACTTCTGATTTGATTTCTAGCTTTCCCTCAGAGCTTTTCTTTTCTCGAGTTCTCCCTTTTTCTTTTTATAAGTCACGTAAGCTTTTAAATTTTAATTGTTACATTATATTGTTTACTTTGAAAACTGTAAACATGTGTTGACAAAGAAAAGTAGACTACATTTAAGATCAACTCTTTATTTTGGCAGACTGTCAGTTCACTGATGCAGAACTCTTTGTTACCCTTTTGGTTATTCATTACAATCCTCCCTCCCTCCATAAAGCAGTGTGCAAGAGCTCAGTTCTTGCTTTATACTTAATTACTCATTATCTCATTCCCTAGTACATACCCTTGAGACTGTTACTGAGAGGCTGTTAATGTGTAGCTGCCAAGAGAAATTGACTTTGGTTCCTGTTCTCTTTACTTCCCAGGAGCAAGTAGGCTCTATTAAGGAGAGGTATGACCACAGGCTTATGTTGAAACATCTCCCTCCAGAATTCAGCATCTTTTTGGATCACATCTCCTCTTTGGATTATTTTACAAAACCAGACTACCAGGTAATCATCTTTCTAAGTTCTGTGGGTTAATTCTTCTGTCATTTAGTCTTTATCTTCACTTACTGTAGCTTTGAGGGTATTGTAAATGAGTATGGGCGGTCCCTAGAATATTATTTTAATACATCCTGAGAAATGCAGTGAAATTGACTGATGAGGACAGTGTGTGTGTGTGTGTGTGTGTGTGTGTGTGTGTGTGTGTGTTTCCTCCCTTCTGGATGGATATACTTCATTAGAGTTTTAGGTTTGTTTATTATTGAACAGATTTTACTGTTCCTGCTGTGATTCATTTGGTGTATAGAACTGCTTATGGTTCAAATTATGTAAATCCTATAGCTAATTTGTTGACGAGAAGGAAATGTCCAGCTAGTTAATCTATCTGTCAAGAGCTTAAGGGCTGTAATATCTTATGTTAATATGCTATGGAACAAAGTGAAGATTATTGGCTCCGTTCTATCTGTGGTCAGTGAATCATTTCCTTAGGGTATCCATTCATAAGGCCTTATAAGGAATGACTAGGTTTACCACAGATTGCACCCTTAACCCCAACCAACTATACATCACAAGATTCTGTTGCTCTCAGGGAGAAGTTAGAGCTTAATGCAAAATAATCACTACCTCTGAAGACATAAATGAAGCCACACATAGATTAAAACAGGCATACGTCATTTCATTGCACATTGCTTTATTGCACTTTGCAGATACTGCATTTTTTACAAATTAAAGGTTTGTGGCAACCCTGCATTGAGCGAGTCCATCAGCACCATTTTTCCTGTCTCTGTGTCTCTGTGTTATATTTTGATAATTTTTGAAATATTTCAAACTTTTTTCTTACTGTTATATTTGTATAGTGATCTATAATCAGTGATCTTTGATGTTTATTGTTGTAATTGTCTTGGGTGCCACGAACCCTACCCATGTAAAATGGTAAACTTTTTTTTTTTTTAAGATTTTATTTATTTGACAGATAGAGACATAGTAAGAGAGGGAACACAAACAGGGGGAGTGGGAGAGGGAGAAGCAGGCTTCCTGCTGAGCAGGGAGCCCGATGTGGGGCTCGATCCCAGGACCCTGGGATCATGACCTGAGCCGAAGGCAGACGCTTACGACTGAGCCACCCAGGCAGCCCTAAAATGGTAAACTTAATCCATAAATGTTGTGTGTGTTCTGACTGTCCACTGACCAGCCATTCCCCATCTCTCCCTCTCCTTGAGCCTCCCTATCTTCTGAAACATAATAATCTTGAAATTAGGTCAGTTAATAATCCTATAATGGCCTCTCAGTGTTCAAATGAAAATAAGAATTGCATGTCTGTCACATTAAATCAAAAGCTAGAAATGATTAAACTTAGTAAGGAAGGCATGCCAAAAGCCAAGATAGGCTGAAAGCTAGGCCTCTTGTGCCAAACAGTTAGCCAAGTTGTGAATCCAAAGGGAAAGTTCTTGAAGGAAATTAGAAGTGCTACTCTAGTGAACACATGAATGATTAGAAAGCAAAACAGCCTTATTGCTGATATGGAGAAAGTTTTAGTGGTCTGAATAGAAAATCAAACCAGCCACAGCATTCCCTTAAGCCAAAGCCTAATCCAGAACAAGGTCCTGAGTCCGTAATTCTATGAAGGCTGAGAGAGATGAGGAAGTTTCCAAAGAAAAATTTGAAGTTAGCAGAGGTTGGTTCATGAGGTTTAAGGAAAGAAGCCTTCACTGTAACATAAAAGTACAAGGTGATGCAGCAAGTTATCCAGAAGATCTAGCTTCTGAAGGTGGCTATACACTAAACAAAACATTTTCAATATAGACAGAACAGCCTTGTATTAGAAGAAGAGCCATCTAGGATTTTCACAGCTAGAGAGGAGAAGTCAATGCCTGGCTTCAAAGCTTCAAAGGACAGGTTGACTCTCTTGTTAGAAGTTACTGCAGCCGGTGACTTGAAGCTAAAACCAGTGCTCATTGACCATTCTGAAAATCTTAGGACCCTTAAGAATTATGCTAAATCTACTCTGCCTGTGCTCTGTAAATGGGACAACAATACCCAGATGACAGCACATCTGTTTGCAACATAGTTTACTGAATATTTTAAGCCCACTGTTAGGACCTACTGCTCAGAAAAAAAAGATTCCTTTCAAAATATGACTGCTCATTGACAGTGCACCTGGTCACCCACGAGCTCTGTTGGAGATGTACAATGAGATTAATGTTGTTTTCATGCCTGCTCGCCACTACATCCACTCTGTAGCCATGGATCAAGATGTCATTTCAACTTTCAAGTCTAATTATTTTAGAAATAACATTTTGTAAGGCAGTTGCTGCTATAGATAGTGATTCCTCTGATGGATCTAGGCAAACTAAATTGGAAACTTTCTGGAAAGAATTTACCATTCTAGATGGCATTAAGAACATTGATGATTCATGGGAAGAAGTCAAAATATTATCACTAACAGAGAAGTCTGGAAGAAGTTGATTCTTACCTTCAAGGATGATTTTGAGGGGTGCAAGACTTCAGTGGAGGAAGTGACTGCAGATGTGGTGGGAATAGCAAGAGAACTAGAATGAGAAGTGGGGCCTGAAGTCGTGACTGACTTGCTGCAATCTCAGGATAAAACTGTACTGGATGATGAGTTGCTTCTTACAGAGAAGCAAAGAAAGTAGCTTCTTGAGATGGAATCTACTCCTGAAGATGCTGTGAAGACTGTTGAAATGACAACAAATGATTTAGAATATTCCATGAACTTAGTTGCTAAAGCAGTGGCAGGGTTTGAGAGGGTGGACTCCAGTTTTCAAAGAAGTTCTGTAGGTAAAATGCTACCAAATAGCATCACATGGAACAGAAATCACTTGTGAAAGGAATAGTCAATCAATGTGGCAAACTTCATTGTTGCCTTGTTTTAAGAAATTGCCACAGCCACCCGCTATGTTCAGCAACCACCATCCTGATTAGTCAGCAGCCATCAGAATCAAGGCAAGACCCTCCACCAGCAAAAAGATTACCACTTACTGAAAGCTCAGATGATGGTTAGCATCTTTTAGCAATAAAGTATTTTTAATTAAGGCATATATGTTGTTTTTTTTAGACATAATACTATTGTGCACTTAATACTATTGTACGGATAATGTAAACATAACTTTTATATGCACAGGAAGCCAAAAAAGTAATTTGACTCACTTTATTGCGATATTTGCTTTATTGTGGTGGTCTGGAGCTGTGCCTGTAAAAATGATGTATTAGTTTATCATTTTTATCTACAAAGTACAACACATAGACTTTACTATTAAAGAAAGTTTTACATTCTACAGTGTTGTCAGTTTGCCCAGTCAAATGACTATAAACAGCACAGTAAACTTATTTGTATATATTAACTATTTCTGTGTGAAATGGCAGCTTTTGTATAAGATATAAATAGGATATAAAGCAGAGAGGCAGGGGGCACCTGGGTGGCTCAATTGTTAAGCATCTGCCTTCGGCTCCGGTCCTGGGATCGAGCCCTGCATCGGGCTCCCTGCTCAGCAGGAAGCCTGCTTCTCCCTCTCCCACTCCCCCTGCTTGTGTTCCCTCTCTCACTGTGTCTCTCCCTGTCAAATAAATAAAATCTTTAAAAAAAAAAAAAAAGCAGAGAGGCAGCATACAGTCTTGGGTCCTTAGAGATCTTAAGTGGGTGAGTTTCTTTCCCATATGGCTATTTGTGTTAATAACTGTATTAATAACTATAGACTCTAACAAATGGAGAAAGTACATTGTATACAAGGCATTTTGGAGTGTGTTCTTATATTTACATTTTCATATGTATTTCTGAAATGCACAGAGTTCATATTACCTATAATAAAATAATGAAATTAAACCTATAATGCTAGATTCAGGAAGAACTGGAAAATGTTCCAACTTTCCCACCTTAGGTGCAAAACACTTTTTACTGATCAAGTATGCATGTGAGCATAGGAGTTGGGCAAACAAAAAATTTTTTATCATATTTACCACTTAGTTATGCCTGTAATCTAAAGAAGACTATTGTGAGCGGTCCCTGGGTGGCTCAGTTGGTTAAGCATCTGCCTTCGGCTCAGGTCATGATCCCAGGGTCCTGAGATCGATTCCCGCATCCAGCTTTCTGCTCAGTGGGGGGTCTGATTCTCCCTCTGCCTGCCGCTCCCCATGCTTGTGCTCTCTCTCTCTCTCTGTGTCAAATAAATAAATAAAATCTTTTAAAAAGTTGCACATGGCCAGCATCTCATCCAATAGCCTGCTAGTGCTCACTCTGACAGTAGATGTAGAGAGGAGCTGTTTTGCTCTTTACCAGGAATCTTTTATGCATGTCTCAATTAGAATAATGGCTGACACTTGCTTTTTGAAAAGTGTTACGGTGTTTTGGGAAATTACATCCAAGTTTATCAGTACTTAGTATTTATGTACAAGTGTGTCTTCCCAGCTGGTTTTTAAGTTCTGGAAGTACAACCATGTCTTCTTTTTTTATCCTACACTATCCTCGCACTGTGCCTGGCACCTAAATTTTCAACAAATGTTAGGAAAATTGAACTGAATCTTAGTTTGCTTAACAGTCTCCTACTAAGGAAATAAGAAAAATCAACTTGTGAGTGCATCAATACTGTTTTCTAGCTCTTAAACTAAACTGGGTGAAACTATCAGAACTACAACCAAGATTCAAACAGAGATCTTATTATGAATATTGTTTTTATGATTAGATTCTGAAAGAGTATAGCAACTATAACAGACAGAAAGTGGCCAGGCCATGAATCTCTTGAGGTTCATAAAATTGTGTAGATTTATATACACACACGGAAACACACACACGAGGGCATGTAAAACTGGTGAAATTTGATAAGCTCTGTGGACTGGTAGTACCCATGTCACTTTCCTGGTTTGGGTATTGTACTCTAGCTGTTTAAGACGTTACTATTGGAGCACACTGGGTGAAGAGGCTTTCTCTTGCTATTTTTGTAATTTTCTGTGAATCTTTAATTATTTCAGACTAAAAGTAAAAAAAAGTGCTGGGC